GAACATGCAACAATGCCCGGCCACGGACAATCAACTCAGTTTGAGCCAGGTTCTCATTTGTCCTGTTGTGGAATAACAAACTCACAGCCCCCCATGGAAGCTCTTATGTTGCCGTTAGCTGCAAACTGGGACCATTAGACAATTGTCAGGATCAGTCGCTGGTTGTTGGTAAGTTTGGAAAAGGGCGCCGGGCCAATGAATCGAGCAACTCTGGGGCGCATCCAATCTTGAAGGGGAAATCGGCCATGAGTACCATCCCCGGTTATTATCTCAAATCAATTAGTCAGTTCAAGTCCCAATGCGGGGCATCAGCAGGGTTGACAACGAGCCCAGCCCAAGCACCCCGCCTGCTCCATTTGCGTCAGCCAGCCCGCTGCCTCTCGGGCGCGGTTCGCCCGGCCCAGGCCCATGACAACCCGGGCCTTGGCGTGACAGGCGAGGCAAGCAGATCCAGCGACTTCAAAGTTGCAAGCTTCCCCGAGAGTCGTGATCCGTCCAAAAACAGAGCTGGAAAGGACGCCTCTACGCTGCCTCCATGAAAGGAATCAGAAGAGAGCTGTCCATGTTCACAGGACTTATGTTTCCCTCAGGCTAACATGGAAGCACATAGGAGGAAAGTCCTTGTTTTCAGGTCGGAGCTTGGAATCGCAGGCAGAACAAGAGTGCAAGGACAGCCTTGACGGTGACAAATGAGCGGAATACGCTTTTGCAATGGAACTTCAAGCTTTCCAAACCCTGCGCACTCCATGAAAAGCAGCTAGAATGCGGACAAGCAAATGTCGACAGGCAATGAGAAAACCAATGCCATCATTCTATGAACGGAGGTGCGTTGTACATTCCATTGCACAGCCTGAAGAATGGGCAAGGCAAGGTCATAAGGCTACACTTTGCTCAAGCCCAAGGGGTACTGTAAACCGAACCCAAGGCGTGCACAAAGGTCTCGGCTGATGAAATCGCAGGCCAAACGGGTCGCAAATGAAGAGTTGAGCGTCTCCTGAACCGCCGCAGAAAAACACTTATTAAGATCCCCCTCGCATGTTGCTCTGCCCACGGCTAGCTCCAACATGCTTGACTGAAACTTCACTAAGGACGGCATCAAAAGCTTCACTATGATTGCCGTTGTAACACTTGCAACTAAGTGGTCAATGGCCAATATTGATTTTGGGCAGGGATATAAAAGCATAAAGAGAAAGCTTTCGTGTTGCAACTGCTCTTGCTTTCTTGCGCCTGACACCGACCCCTTGCTCTGCCGCCCGGCCCGGCGGTTGTGCCCGTGGACTCTGTGCAGTTGTGCGAAAAATGCTATCTCTGGTGGCTGGTTTTTTTGAGGTTAGTCGAGAAACGAAAAGCAAAGCGTGCCAAGAACTGGCTGTGCCCGAAACTGCTTACGTCCTCCGACCAATTCCAGCTCAACGCAGGCCACTTGCGTGCCAAGAAGCGTAGGCATGCTGGTTTGGTGGAATGGCGCATTCCTGCACGAAAGCCATGCGGCGTCAAACCAGCATGGAGAGCGCGATTATGGAGCAAGCGTGCATCATAGAGCAATGATCCAAAGGGTCCCCTAGCACCTTCTGATTCATGCCGATTATAGAGTGACATACCAAACAAAACAACAGGTCCTGTGCCCCAACGATGGCATTCCAATGACTTGCCGCCCCGACGACTTAACAAGAACTTGGCTGAAAGCAGCAAGCCCAGCGACTTGCTGGACAACGGTGAGATTTCTCTTTCTGTCATCAGCAACTGTGGAAGATTGCTGAAAACGTTGTGTTTGTGTGGGAACCTCTGCAAACACAACCTCCATGAACCCGCAATTAGGTTGTCTGCAAATCAGAAAGCGTCCGTAACCTTTTCTCCATCAATACTGCCATCAAAGGGCACTTGATGGGCCTTCATCTGCCGGTGTTTTCACCACCGAGTTCTCCATGAAGCTTGGAAGGCTCGTGTCGCAACATGCAGCCCTCTGTCACCTCCCACAAAAAACGCCAGAAGCCAAGACAGTGGCCCTCCTGGGTAAGGCTTGGACAGAACTTTCATCCAACCCAAACAACGACAGTGATGCGTCCTTGCCAAGGATCCAATCCAGAATGCAATTATTCAGTTTCGCTTGATGCCATCTCCAACAAAACGGCTAGGAGGGCAGTTCAAGCCAACCTCAGGAAATGCTGCTTCTTTCCACATATGTGGCACGAACATGTTGCGCATCCATAATTGCAAACATGAATCGGCTTACTTCTCACATTGAGCAATGACTGGCGCTCGTGATCAACAGCCTCGGCCACTCTCTCAGGCTATATCTGTGCTTGGCTCTCTCCCATGTCTTCAAGGGGGCTGTTCGCTTGACTCACTTCGCAGCATATGCAAATGGCACGAGCGAAGCAACAACAGAAGCATCAACAGAGGGAAATAAAGAATCGATGAATCTGCGCAACATGCGCTTCTCTCTCTCTCTCTCTCTCTCTCTCTCTCTCTCTCTCTCTATTAATGCCGTCCTCCCAGAATGCCGTTCTTACATATTGGAATGTTGCTCTGTCAATCAAAGAAGCACACTGCAAAACCTCCCATTCGGACAGGGGCCTATAGAATTTTTAAACTTTGGACACATTCCAATGCCCTTGAAAAAACCGCGCTCCATAAAATAATTAACCGTCGCGTGAGTCCGCATCAGTTTTTCCCAGAAACATGTACGAACAAAAAGAAAAGCAGAACAAAAGATGAAAACAACAAGCAAAGAAGGAAGCGAGCAATCAAAGGACACAAATCAAAGAAGGCAAACATACCAAACAAAACCAACACACACACAAGCAAAACACACACACACACACACACACACACACACACACACACACACACACACACACACACACACACACACACACACACACACACACACACACACACACACACACACACACACACACACACACACACACACACACACACACACACACACACACACACACACACACACACACACACACACACACACACACACACACACACACACACACACACACACACACACACACACACACACACACACACACACACACACACACACACACACACACACACACACACACACACACACACACACACACACACACACACACACACACACACACACACACACACACACACACACACACACACACACACACACACACACACACACACACACACACACACACACACACACACACACACACACACACACACACACACACACACACACACACACACACACACACACACACACACACACACACACACACACACACACACACACACACACACACACACACACACACACACACACACACACAAACACACACAAACATGCAAATGCAGACAGAACAAACTTAAGCAAACAAACAATCAAACCAACAAACCAACAATCAAACAAACAAACCAACAAACCATCAGTGGATACACCAGTCAAACAAACAAACCAACACCCACATATGCAACAAACAAACCAACAAACAACAAAACAACACCAACAAACACCTACACACACACACACACATCAGGAAGACAAAACCGCAGCAAACCAACCACGCAACAAAAAGAACCACACAAACACACCAGAAAACCAACGCACAGCAAACCAACGCACAGCAAACCAACAAGCAAGAGAACAAGAAGGGACACAAAACAATAATAACAACACAGTCAAGCACCTCCATGTGGATCAGCATGTCAATGGCATCGTCCACCTGCTTCGCCTGAAAGCCGACAGCCGACGGCTTGGGATTTACCAGCCAGCTGATCTGTGCTGCGGAATGGTTGATAGGGGTTGCCGGTTGATAGGGGTTGCCTGAAAGGGCGCTGGGCTTGTGTTCTCAACTACCTAGGGCATGGTCACAATTAGCGAAAGGTAGATGCCGTTGAATCCTTGTGAGAAGTGGGTGGGGAAAACGAACACGCTGCAACATTAAACGCTCCTAGACTGTACGTGCTCTCAGAGCCCACAGCAATCGCGAGTCAAGCGCTGTGCCTTGGTGAGGGCGTTGATGGTGCTGGCATAGCTCCGTTCATCCGGCTTCACGGATGCCTGGTGCTCGCAACTCTTTGTCTCTTTGTCTCAATGGCCAGCCCTCCTGCGCGTGTTCCAGCTTGGGTGAAGCTGCTCTGTCAAAACACCAAGAAGAAACTAGCGAAGTGTTTGAAAGAGTGGGAAGACCAGACCTTTACCAGGGACTGGGAAGGTTTCCCAGTAAACGATTGCTGTGTTGAATGCACATCAGTTACCCTGGCAAGTGCTTGAACCAAACCGTGCCAGCACGGTAAACGGAATCAACTGTATATGTGATCCAGCAACTAAAACACTGATGGTCATATGCGTGCTTCATGAAACTTCCTGATGTGGTGACTATGCCCGTCCACTTCAGTAAGATGGGGGCCCACTAGCTCCTAACACCAAATCGCCCCCCAGCTGCTCCAAACTACACATTGGCCGCGGGTGATCCAAAATTCTTGTTCTGGGAGATACTGATTCGCAGTCGAAAGTGACACCATGGATTGCTGGAGCTGCGGGCCGCTATGTCTCAGTGCTGTCAGTCTAGGACTTGTAGGCAAAACTGACCCACAAACAACTGCAACTCGGACAGGGCAACAAACCCAAATACCAGTCAACAAAACAACCCCCACTGAAACGATGTTCTGCCCACCTTTTCCCGCAATTCTCTCCCCAATGGAGCAACTTCTTGTCAACAACTTTGCGTGTTGGACGCCTCCTCCATCTGCGCCAGCCAGCGCTTGGCCTTAGCAAAGGCCGCGTGGCAACCAGAAACGACCTTGCGCTCGGGACCTGGTCTCCGCAGAAACTATGCCCACACTGTGAAGGGCAAGGCTGCCAACCTGTTGCCAGCCATGAACTGCACACCCCCAAAAGCTGTGATCAAAGTGTCGCACGCACCCAAGTCTCACAGCATCGTTTTCCGCCCGCAGATTTTGCAGGCGCGTCCAGGCAGGCTTTCGTGCAAGCCTTGGGTGACCCAGCAAGCGGCGCAAACTAAATGCTGCAAAGGAAACACGCGGGCCGCCCAAAAAAAAAGGTTGGCAAGATAGGCAAGGCCATTGTTTTGGCATCGTATGAACAGTTGCTCGCACGAGCACTGCCTCTTTTTGGACGGTTTTGGCGCAAATATGCCGACTGTAAAACCATGAATGTCAAGCCTGAGCCACACCAATTGCAGCGTTGAACGTCACAACGTTGGATTCCACGAAAGCCTCCTTGCGCGCAAAAAACAATTGAATGTGTTTGCAGTTCTTTGAAACAATTTGACAACTATAGGACATGGCCTCTCCACGTGTCAAAGAACTTTCTGGGCTGAAATCAGGAACCAGAAAGGCTCATCGGGCTATCCTGCCCCGTGTCCTGAAGCGCCAACAGCAACTGCAAGGCCCGGCGCCAAAGCTTGCTCTTCTCGCAGCTGCTGATGGCAGCACCTGAGCAGGTTGGAAGTTTACGGCGTGCCCCCCAACCAAACACGTGGGGGCTTGCAGAAACGCACCGCGGGCGCAACCGGCAAGCACATGCAGCTGCCTAAGGCAGCCAAGGCGCGGTAGGACACGCCGCTGGCTTCAATGTCTTGCCAACGCATGGCTGACAAGAGCAGTGAAGCCACCAGCCAGGCCCCGCCTGAGCAGGTGAACGCAACTTGGCCTGAACCATCACGCTATGACTGCGGTACTGCGCAAAAGAGCATGTGTTGCCTGCTCGGTGCCCCGAGCCTCGTTCACAAGCGCTGAGGAGGCTGTTCCGAGACACTGCTGTCTTGGCCACGCCTCGCCTGACGCCTTCTGCGTGCAACAACAAAGCCTCAGCCGAGTGCAGCTCTCCCCAGCGCTTGCAACGCCAAATAGCACAAAACGCCTTGCCATATTTCAAAAGGCAGGCTGGTGTGATGTGGAAGCAGGAAAACAAATTATCCAGGCAAAATGGTGGCAGCAACTCATTTCGCTACGTCCTTCTCAAACCAGTCTTTCCTAGCCCGTTGCATGAGGGCGTTTTACTCAAGCACCTCGGTGTCAGAGAGAACAACCTGCAACTTGAACAAGCACACGTGCGTCAGAGCGATGAGAAGCTTGCCTTTTGAGAAAGGTGGGTCAGTCTCAGGGGTGGAGGCTTCATCAACCTCCAAGCAAGCCAACTTGGCAGTCACATTTCGTTTCTCTCCCACTCGCTGAAAGTGGCGTGTCGACAGGCTGGCGGCAAACATCTGTAGAGACTTCCCGCAACTTGTCAAGTCAGAAGCCACGAAAGCGTAAGCGCGATAGTGAACAAACTAAGCGGAATCAAGGGGCCAACTTCGCATTGCAACGCCAGCTGCCAAGCAGCTGCTCGGAAATACTTTTGCAAGCAAGCAGCTAGCGGCCAACCGCCGCCCTTGCAGGCGCTGGTGGCAGCGTTGAAGGTGACATCCTTGGCGCAAGGGAAGCCCCCCAACTTGCCAACTGGGAGGCAAGCGGAAACGGAACGTGTCATGAGGAAAGCGAGCGGAGCGCTGAAGGGAGCTGCGTGCCCGCCACATGTCTGCCGGGCGCCACGCTTTGCGGCACGTTGGCGCCGCGCGAGGCTGCTCAGCCAGCATCTGCAACTCGTTGCTGCGGCAAGAGCTGTGGTTCGGGCCAATGCGAACCTCTAATCTGCTCATCTTGTTCAACTTCACTGATGCTCAGACGCTTCAGAGTTCTTGCTCATGTTCATGTTCGTGTCAACACCATACGCAGATTCAAAGTGCTGAGGCGAAGCGAGGCAGCGATGCCAAAAAGAGCAAATGTAGCTGGCCAAGCCAGCCAAAAAGCCCTGGACTTTTGATTCTGCTTGCAGGGGTCTTGAAGGGCTGGCTTCTGCTTTCAACGCGCTTAGGCCGCGCGCGACGCTGGCCGTTGCGAGATGTGCCCCCTGCGCAGAACGCAGTCAAATGTGTCACGCGACTTCACAGGGCGAAAGCTCCCTCTCGCGCAGCTCGTGTTAGCTGGGAAGGCAACGTTCTTCCGGCCAAACACGCTCCTTCATCGAGGCTTGTGCGCTGCTGCGGCGCTCGGGCTAGGGGCTTCGCAAGGTGGTCGGGGTTCAAGGCTGAGAGTGCGCGGATCGTCTTGGTCGATGGCTCCATGTTGCCTGCTTTGAGAACGGAGCGCTAAAACTTGTGCTGCGCAACTTCTGGGGAGATAGCAGCGCAGAGAGACATGAGTATGTGCCAAGCTTCTGTGCAAACAACAAGCGTTGGCGCAGAAAAGAGCATGTGCTGCAGCGCCTCGCAAAAACCTGAAAGCAGAAACGCTTGAAATCAGCGCCCGTTGGGGGGTCCGCTTGGCACACACGCACACACACACACACGACGTGCACGTGTTCTGAGGGTAGCAAGACGCTTCTGCGTGCGCGACACTGTTGCAGAATTGCAAAAGCCACTCTTGTCAAGCAAGTTTGCGCTGCGCAGCACAAGCTGCACAACGCTGCACGCGCATGTGTGTAGATACTTGTGCGCC